TTAAAAAAGCTCACAAGAATATAAAATTTTTGCATTAAATGACCCATAAGGAGTTGATATGCCATTAAGAAAAACAAACCAAAATGTCTGACTATCTGGTAATAGGAGTTATTTTTTACATTAAAGAAAGAGAAATATTAGCAGGTCTTCATCAGCAGCAGCTGTTTCAAAAAGAGAAGCTTCAGTGAGTGCAGTAAGGCATGACAAGCAGCACTCATCAGCAGTTAGGTTAGGTTTAAGGCTCCACACAGAATTGTCCCATGTGGCAATAGCCTAGTCAATTAAAGTGTTGGTTCATCAATTTGATGACATAGTAAATGGGTTTGATAGCATGTACTAGTGAAAATGGGTTGACCAAAAACTGAGTAATACTAAATAAAGAACAAGAAAAGATATCCCTAGACATGCCAGTGGAATGAGGTCAATCTAAAGTAAAAGATTCAGTTTGAAATTCCTTGTAGGTTACCAGAATCTTCATTAACCGGATGAAAGCTGGAGGACGGGGGTTGTAGACAATGGCCAAGACATTTTGACAATAATAGCAAAACAGTAGTCCATAAGTAAATAATGTAAATAAATCTAAATGCTAATCTTACTCTTAGGACTGTTTATTCATTTTTAGGTTTAAAAAAATTCCTGTATTTTTTCATGTCTCCAACTTTGATTTTATTACCCAGCACAAGGTAGGGATTGTCCTGACTGAGTGGGAGGGAAATGCATTATTCCAAGGTCAGTGTGTGTGTGTGTGTGTGTGTGTGTGTGTACATTAAATGGTACTAGCATATACAAGTCAATCACAAACAACACAGACATGCATATATATTTCATAAATATACTGACTGGTTACTCTTTGTCTAAGCACACCTGTCTGATAGGGTGGCTAGACAATCCCTGTTACAGACACCTATTCTGGCACATTAAACAGAGTCCATTTGTGATTTATAATGCAACTATGCTGAGTGGACCTTAGTTACAGTTTCTGGTAGAGAGAGCTTAATCTGGTATGATCGGTAGTTTGAACATTACATATGTGCATGCAAAATCACATGCAAACAGTGTGTGATTGAGAGAGAATCAGCTCTTGTTTGATAATAGAGATTTGAATAAAAAATACTAGAAGCTAGAATTCACGTTGTATATTTATCACATAAGTATTTATTGTTCTGATAAGCTTTCCTCTTTTGTACCTCGACTTTACAAATTTAAGTGCATTACTAGATTGGCTGCTAGGTCTCATCATGTTACAGTTGGAATTGCTGGATGTAACTAAGTTTTATACTAACACTTTCTTCTCTTGCATTTCTCACTTGTGGAACACTTCTAGATCTTTTTTGCTTTACAGTCAACTTTAATCTCCCAAAAATTTAAATGCAATGCCAATCGTAATCTTCTGTCGCCTTAATCCCTGTTCTTTTTATTGTTCTCTTTCCTTAATAATGTCTTTCGTTTTTTTTTATCCTTTCACACTCAGTAATCCCTTGTGTCTTTATTGCCTTACTTGGGGTGAAATGATTAGAAAAAAGTATATTCTTAAAGTTTTAGCAGTATTATTTGGTTAATACCAATTTTCTCTTGAAAACATTGACTGTCTGAATTTCTGGGATGAGGATTTATCATTATTTACACCATTTAACATGTGAACTATTGTCCTCATCATTGTTATCACAATGTTTCAACTGTTGTTGCTTCGGGCCTCATGAGGGTTGGCGATATCTCTAGGCATGGACAGTGGAATGACAACAGTCTGCACATGTAGATTAGATCAAGGGTTTCAGTTTGAAAATCCCTGTAGATTACCCAGATTGATATACACCTGATGAAGGCTGAAGGGCACAATGGCCGAAACATTCTGGTAACAACAAAGATGAGGACAACAGTCCACATGTAAATAGTGTAAATATTAACTTTCATAATAAAATGTGACGGTGGATATATTTAAAACATTCTATTGACTTTTACCATCATAATGAATAGATTCTGATTGTCGTCCCATTCACTGCTTGACTCTAGTTTATTTGCTTTGTTGGGTCATTGAAAGAAAAAAAATTAAGAAAAACGAAAAAGGTATTTTTTTCATGTTTTTTTCTTTTATTTTTCCAGTCATTTCTTCATTAAGAAAACACCTGCCCGTCTGATAACAATATTGATTTTTAGAATCTTGAAATCACTGCTGTCAGAAAGATTTCTTCTCTTTAAGAACTGGCTGAATAAGCAACTCAGTTTGTACAATGAAAGGCAAAAACTTGATTAGCTTACAGCAGACAAGTGATGTTATTTATAAAATTGTTTGTTGTTTTTTTGTTTTTTTTCTGGTCAAAGTGTTTCAAAAGCATTTAAAAAAATGCCAAATCATGAAGGGATAATGTACAGTACATTTCACATTCATCAAATATGCTTTGGATAGAGTCCAAAAGTATCCACGTGTCCTCGTGGGTGATGAATTGTTTTCCACCTTACAACCACTTTCCCACAAACAAAAAGGGTTATAAGCTTCTTGTTAATATCATCATTTCTATGGAAAGTGTGCTGACAAACTACATTCTTTAATTCCACCACTTCTAACCATTACAGCTAAGACCTGCCATGCCACACACATTGTAGCAAACCCTCATTTCCTTCATATTCCATTGGTGAATTCGGTTTCATTCCAATAGCTTCTTTTCACAAACTGATACATTGTATAATCAACTACCAAGAGAATGCTTCCTCAATCACTACAATCTTAAGATGTTCAGATCTAGGGTCAACCACTATTTTTCCCATATATTCCCAATAAACTGTATCTCTTATCTTTCTCTCTACCTCAAGTGGCTCTTAGGTCTTCTACAGGAGGAATATTATTGTAAAAAGAAATATATGTTCTAACAAACTATTTTTTTTTTCACCACTCTTGCAGGAGTTTGAAGATATGAATTAAATACAATATAAAAATGACTGATTAATATAATTAATTTTTTATATTAATTTTATATTAAATAATTACTTTACTTTTTTTTTTCTAAAATCATTTCACCCCAAGCAAAGCAATAAAACCACTAAGGTGCAAGGGGTTAGTGAGAGTGGGAAACAATGAGAAAGCATTGAGAAGAGAGAAGACATTAAAAGAGAAGCGTTTAAGTACAATTAATATGATGATTGATATGACATTTAAATTTTTGTAGATTGTAGTTGACAGGAAAGCAAGAAGCCCAAAGAGAGTTCCACAAGAAAGAAGTGCAAGAGAAGAAACTATTAGAATAGAACTTACAGTTACATCTAGCAATTTCAACAAAAGAATGAGACCTAGCTGCCAATCTAGTACTATGAATTCACGAAATTGAGATATGAAACAGAAAAGCTTATCAGAACAATTGCCATGAAAATATTTATAGAAAAAAAGTACATGGTAGTGACATTATGGCACTGAGAAAATGATTGAAGTGAAGATGCCAGGTTAGAACTTTCTTATATGTATTAATCATATTAAACACACAACATTTTTAAATGGTTAAGATTAATATAATACAAAAAGTGACTGGGATTCAATTTTATGTTAAGTCTTTTGAACAGAATAACAAATTTTTTTGTGTCTAGTACAAAACCTGAAATGTATGAGTTTTGTTTACTCTTGTTCTCTACATTTTGTTTACATATCTTTGAAAAAACAGAAAATTAATTAAATAATTGGAAACAAAGGATAATAAACAAAATTTAGTGATAATTATTTATGGTAAAAAAATCAATGATATAAAAATGGGTGGTATTAATAGTGAAATAAACTGAAAGTTGACAGCTTATTTTTCAAAAGATTTTTTAAGAATATTTCTAAAAGAAAAAAAAAAAAATATATATATATATATATATATATATATATATATATATATATATATATATACTAATCATGGAAAAGAGATAAATTATGAATCATTTGCTGTTCAGACATTTTTTTTTTGTCTCTGTTCAACCTGCAGACATGTTAAACTGAACTTGTTTAGCGTGCATAAAACATAAATAAACACTCAGCAATAAAAGTAACAAGTGAAGGACAGTAGTAAAATATTTGATCACTAAGAAGAATCTAAAAGAAAAAATATTTGATTAATAAGAACCATATGAAAGAAAAAAATATTTCATCACTAAAAAGAATCATCTAAAATATTTTGGAAAGTATAAAATAAAAATTAGGAAATTTCTTACAAAATTACTTTCAATTCAAGTTAGAAGCTTTTAATTACCTGCCGATTTATAAAGCTTAACTTAGATATCATCCTATGATAATTGGCACCTAAGAGAACTTTCAGGATGAATACTGCAGAATTTCAGAAGAAAATGCAATGCAAGTCCTTAAAAATTATTAAGATGAAGAAATCAATAAAAAGATCAATGTGAAAGAAGCAAGGATTCAATTCAATCATTAATTCATTAAACTAAATTAGATCACCAGAAAAATCATCAAAATGAAAAGGAGTTTTTGAAAAAAATAAAAAACCTGCATTAATCATTTAAAGTAGTACAAAGAATATTAAAAGATTAAAAGATCAGTAATACTTAAATAACCTCAGCATAATACTAGATAATCTAGTTAAACTAGATCTTAATAGTCATAGTTCCATAATAAAATAGTAATATTAGTTATTTTCTTATAAGGAAACATTCAGCATTCATTGAGCAAACAGTGCTACTTTTGGTTGAAATTTCTAAAATCTTCCGCTTAAAACAATTTTTCAGGAGAGTAAGTTTCTCAAGTTCACTGACTTATCACTCTTTCCAGTATTGATGTGGGGGGGGGGGTTCTTTCTTCCTAAACTTTTGCTTGAATTAGTGTGGAATATCAACATCTTGACTGTCATTGTTTTCTTTTCAAGTTACATGTGCTAGCTATTTTAGCTGTTGTCATTGTTGAAAGTCCTCAAGTGATGTGGCTTCTTTAGTCACAAGGTTCAATTTAAAGTTGGTTGAAAAAAGATTTGCGTGAAATGAATATTCCTTTCAGATGTCAGAGTTCAAATAAAAGTCAGTACTCAAGTGCAGGACCAGAGAGATAGGGGATTTACAGAGAGTGTGAGCGAGAGGTAGGAAGCTACAGAGAGAGAGAGAGGTGGGGAGCTACAGAGAGTGTGACTGAGAGGTGGGGAGCTACAGAGAGTGTGACCGAGAGGTGGAGAGCTACAGAGAGTGTGACCGAGAGGTGGAGAGCTACAGAGAGTCAGAGAGAGAGGTGGGAAGATACAGAGAGAGAGGTGGGCAGCTACAGAGAGTGTGACCGAGAGGTGGGGAGCTACAGAGAGTGTGACCGAGAGGTGGGGAGCTACAGAGAGTGTGAGCGAGAGGTGGGGAGCTACAGAGAGTGTGAGCGAGAGGTGGGGAGCTACAGAGAGTGTGAGCGAGAGGTGGGGAGCTACAGAGAGTCTGAGAGAGAGGTGGAGAGCTACAGAGAGTCTGAGAGAGAGGTGGGGAGCTACAGAGAGAGAGAGAGGGTGTATTTAGATAGAGTGTGAGAGGAGATTGTTGAACTTGGTTGTAACTTCAATCAATGGAAAGGGGATATACAAGTTACTTTGAAGTTGCTGATAGTAGGGAAACAAAGATCTGTTGAAAGCAAATACATCTACCAACATTTTCCATCCTCAACGTGTGTTTATATTGCCTTTAAGTGGCTCAAGAATTCAGACTTTTCAACACTCCAACAGAACAATTTGATTGGTCTTATTTTTTTTCTCTGTCATGTCGTATGTTCTCTTTTCAAAGTCAAAGGCATAAACATCGTTTCTTGTGTGCATGTGTAATACACAAACTTATTTCCTAACATCAAGAGTCTCTCTTAAAGAAAATAAGTCATAATAATGCAAAGAGAATAATGTTTATATGGAAGGGAGATCATTAGAGTTAGAATTTATTTTTTATGGTTTGAGCTAATGATTCTACAATGAACAATCTGGGAGTTGAAATAAAAAACAGCTTCAGAATGTATTACTTGTGAAGAAAAACTTTAAAAATTAATATAAATTAAGATTTGGTAAAACAAATTAGACAGATTCAAATTACAGCAGAAATATTATTAAAACATTCTGTTAATCAGTTTCAGACAAAATAAAAACTTCTTTTTATTGAAAATTATTAATGTGATACAATATCCTCATTGAGTGGATACTAACCTGAAATTTAATTAGAATTTATGAAGAAAGATAAAACTTACAGAGCACTTAAAACATCAAATTATTAATCTGCAAAATTTCAGCTTATAAGCATGTATAATTAGTAAGTTATTAGAAATATAGTTATTAAATTAGAAATTTGATACTCTTCAAATAACGCAGGCTAGCATTTTTCTGTTCAATCCTTGTATGTATTTTTTGTGTTTACTACTACATCGCCGTGTCAGCTATAAATAAAAGACAATATATCAAGTAGTCCAAGTAAGAGTTCAAGTGATAGTCCAAGTAACAGTTGGAGTAAAAGTTCAAGTTGAAGTAGTAAGAGGATATCTTCCTGCATCTAGTCTATTCTCTGTTGTATGAAAACTATTTTTATAAGAAAAAACTAAAGTAAAAACAAAGGAAAAATATTTTGTAAATCATCGACTATTTCTGGATTAGATAAATTTTGAATTCAGACTTTATCTGATTTCTTCTTTTCATTTTCTTTGTGAACAGATTGAATATTTTTAAAAGACCAAATAGTCACCACATTTCACAGATGAAATAAATCTGAATCAAAAATTAATAACTGGAAATTCTTTATCTAAGGCATCTTAAGGCCGTTAGTAAAAAATTCAATGGAAATATGATAAAAGAAATACATAAAAATTAATAACTGAGAAAAAGGTATTTAAATATTATTGCATCTTGTATTATTAATATATAAAAATAATGCAAATAATTAATATGAATGTATTTTTTACTTTTTACTCACCGAGAATCTGCTTGGACTTGGTTGAAGTTTATCTGAGGATGTTGACATGATGGCAGGTTTGGAATCCTCAACAGGACTGGAACAGCTGCTTTCAGTGGATGATATTGTTGTCATTGTGATGGGATAACAGGAAATGACACAAAAATAATAGGAAGTAGATGATTTGAGGATTCTGGGAAGATTAAAACAACCCAAATCCAAATACAGCTTATGTGAGGATCACTGTCAAATCTCCGTTAAACAACAGATGCATATAAAAATGAATCCTGAAAAATAAGAAAAATAGAGAAATGTGATATTTTGCATTTTCAAAACAAAGGAAGAATGGTAAAAAAAAAAGCAAGAAGAAATGAAAGTGAAAGGGTAAAAGAAATAGTATAAAAAGAAAGAAAAAAGCAAACAAAGTGAAAGGGTGGATAGAAAAGAAAAGAGGAAAGTATGAGAAATGATAGTGAGAATTTAAAAAAAAAGAAAATAAACAGAAAAGGTAATAGAAAGAAAGCGAGTAAAAAGAGAGGAAGCAATATAAAGAGAGATGATAAGGATTAAAAGTAGGAGTGGAAGATGAAGATTTGTAAAGTGAGAAGAATAAAAAATGTGCAAAAGACAAATGAAGAAAAAAAACAAAAAAAGGAAAAGACTTCTTTTACAATGGGATAGAGAGAAAAGAAGCAAAAAAAGAAAATGAAAGAAAGAAAAAAGCATACAGAGTAAAATGTTTTAAAATATGTGGGTGAGAAAAAAGAGACAGAGGAGACAAAGAAAGAAAATTTGGAAAGAAGCCAGAGAGAAATATAAAGTGAAATGTGCACAAAATTTTCACTGTAGAAAAAAAAAAAATCAATCAATTTTATGCAAAAAATGCAAGAAAAATTAAATTATGCAAGTTTTGATAAAAAAGAAAAACACTTCCATTGCCAGACGTTCAGTAAGAGTTCTCTCCCCCTGGCTCAAAATGCTTTCATTATGAGCAGACAAGTAATTACTCTCAGGTTAGAAGACTGAGTAAAACTAATTATGAACATATGGTTAACGAAATTTTAAAAGGAAATAAAATTTTTAAAAAAATCAAAACAAAAAGAGAAAAAGACAGGATGACAAAGAAGAGAAACAAAAATAAGATTATTTAAAATAGAAATGTCTAAAGATTAGAAAAAAAAAGAAAATATAAAAAGCAAAAGATAATCCTTTTGTGTATTAATTCCCAGTATTTGGTTTGAAAAATTAATTACTGCAGGTTTTAATCAAATATCAATTCTTAACAGCAACAACTCACAATTCTAAACTGATACTCATAATAAAATTTCCCCAAATTAAAGTGGCATATAATTACATTGAAATTCAAATTATACATGACCAACATTATTAATACAAATGCTTATAGGGAAGTGTGTTTCTAAAGATTCATTATGTTGGATATATCACTGCCCGTTTTTCAAAATGGCTGACCTTATATCTTTTGGATCATAGCTTTATAAGGACCCATTTAAATCAACATGAAAACATGCCAACTCTGATACATAAAATAATTATCGAAAACACAAATATGTGACAAACTGCAAAAAAAACATCTGAAAATAATAGAAGCCCTTATAATAATAATGTAATTGAAGAGTTTAAAAAAAATAAAAACAAAAGTCTGACTGTCAAAAATCACAAATCCGTAGGTCGAATAATTGTCCTTCACACACTGCAGTGAACAAGAAACAAACCATCTTGCCCATTGTTCAAGGCACTTGGTTTAGATGTAAGTCAGAATGTCAATGATTGGTTGAGTTGGAATGGAAAATTTACATGATGTTCTCCATATAAAATGAGAAGTCACGTGAGCTTTCAATTTTCACCATCAGATAACACACACAACGCAAGGTAAGTCAAAATTTTCTTCACCACAACAAACAAAAAAAAAAAATTAACCCTTAAAAACAACTATGAACATGGCCATAATGTACTGGCCATGCCAATTAAAAATATACCTATATATCAGCAATACACACACCATCTACAATATCATAACCAAAATCTTTGAAAATGGCTAAGATCAGCTGAAAACACTCAAAATGAACAATTATTAAGACAATTTCTACATACCAGGCATCAAAAGAAAAAAAAAAAAGAAGATATCTCTTCTTTACACATAAGAAAAATTTAAAAGTAATTGTTAGTGGTTTTGCTGAATGATGCTGAGAATACCATGGATGGAATATGTGAGTAATAAGGAAGTTAAGGAAAATGGCAACAAAAAAGACACTTGTACTTAGAGACAGTTGAAATTTCTACAACACATAATGAGAAACGGCAGCTTGAATAAATTAATACTCACAGGGCATATTGAAGACAAAAGGGTGCAGAGGAAAAAGTGAGTAACCTACCTAACAACAGATAATTGAAATATTAGTTGCTTCCCGACAAGGAAACATTTGGCATTCATTAACTGAGCAGCAAATTTATTTCATAATAATAAATAATAATAAATTCTATCTTTTTATTAGTTCTCCTAAACCTTGTTCCACACTCCATTTACTCAAGCTCTAGGCTATGCATGGATTTCCTCTATTCCCTCTTGTCTTCAATATACCCTGTGAGTATCTATAGGTTAAACTGTAGGCTTTGTATCTGGGAAATGATTAACTACCAAAAATCATTAATGCAATATTCACCAAAAGAATTATTCATACAATCCAAAATATATTTTGGCAAAGTGGTTGATAATCCATAAAAAAAGAAATCTATCAATATACCACCTTTAAAGTTAAAGTTTCAGTTGAAATTTGTAAAACAAACAATTTTTCAGGAAAATAATTTTTTTAAGTCCAGTAGCTGTTATCATTCTTTCCAGTAATGTTAGGAGTTTCCTTCCTAACCTTTTATTTGACATTATATGGAACATCAAAATCTTGATTATGCCATTATTTTCTGTTCAAATTACATGTGCTATCTATTTTATTGCTGTTGTTGCTAGTCTTCAAGTGATGTGGTTTCTGTTATTTGGTACAGTTCTTTCTTTGTGATTCTGTAGCGCCAGTTCACAATGTTCCAAGAAGAAGGGTCTTTATCAAGAACCACATCCTTCACTTGCTCAAAGCCATTTTTAACCATTGATCTTAGAAAGCAGTTGTATACAGTTGACAGTTTAGACATCATGCATGGAGCCAAACCTGTTCAGAAATATCTATATGAAACTCTTCACATGACAAGACTATAAATTGAGTTTCCAGGTTAATGTTTCAGGTTAGTAGCAATTTGCGGTGTTAAGTAAAACTAACTCAAGCACAGTCTATTCTATATTCAGTTTTCTTTTCTACTATACTAAATTTGTTATAATTGATCTAAACGCCAAAGTATCTTGAAGTGTTTAGTATTTACTCATTGCACATCCTGAATGTTTATGATAGATTCAATTTAGGTGCAACCACTGCTTTCATTCCAATTCCAGATCATAGTTTCTGTTTTGGAAAAGTTTATCTTGAGTCCTATTTCTTAGAACACTTTATAGGGGATGTTTTCATTTTTATGATGGATTCAGGGTAGGTACCATCACTGCCTTCATTTCAATTCCAGTTCATTGATTCTGTCTTGGAAAGGTTTATCCTGAGCCCTATTTGTGTAAATGGATGACAGAACAGGAACTGGGAGGGATAGTATAGGAACAAACATTGTTTAGACATACAAAGAACAGGAAGCTGTGGAGAGCTATGATCATCGTGTCCTGAAATGCATATTTATCATTAAATTTCAGATTTGTTGATCTACCTATGTATGTTAGTCTATTTTACAAGACTGAGTGATTCTATAAAGTTCTATTAAATATTATTAGTCCTGACCTGGCATCTCAGCTTCAGTCACTTTTCCACTGCTATAACATAGATCCTCTGTGCTTTTTCTATAAATATTTTCATGGTAGTTATTCTGATGAGTTTTGTTACCTAGACTTTATGAATTTATGCACAGTATTAGATTGGCGGCAAGGTTTCATCATTTTACAGTTAAAATGGCTAGATGTAACTGTAGTTTTATGTTAACAGTTTTTTTTTTCTCTCATGTTTGTCGCTTATAGAATTCTCTTCCTTTCTGGTCAACTTTTATCTTCAAAAATTTAAATGCAATGCCAATCATTATCTTCTGTCTTCTTAATTCCAAGTCTTTTATTATTCCCTCTCCTTAATAATGATTTCTTTCCTTGTAGTATCCCACACTCAGTAACTGTCTTAGTAGCTTTATTTCCTTGGAGTGAAATAATTAAAAAAACAAATAGCAGCATGTTCTTCAGCTAGTTTCTGCCTGAATTTCTGGGAGGAAGAGTAATCATTACTTAGATTATTTACATTTGGAATAATGTCTTCATTCCTGTTGTTATCACAATATCTCGGCCATTGTGTTCACTGACCTTTATATGTCAGTCTGGGTATACTTCAGAAAAAGCCATCCCTAGACATGGACAACAGAACAATCTTCTCCTATGTACCATGTCCTTTCAGGAAATTGGTGATCATAGCTCTCCATAATTTTCTTTCCCTTTTGCAGCTCTTAAAAAATTTTGTCTTTTTTTTCTTCTATCTCTTCTAAACCTTGTTCTGCCATCTATTAGGTAGGTTATGCGTTGTTTTCTTTTGTCCCTCTTGCCTTCAATATGCCTCATTATATGCTCTACAAATTTCATCTATCTCTGATGTTAAGTATAAGTTTCCTGTTTGTTTCCATTTGTAGATGAAAACAAGTCTCCAATGAAAAGTTCTTTAAATATATTTCTTCTATGTGCCACATCTCATCAGGACGTAGATAATCATGACTCTCCTCAATTTCCAGTCCTTTGTAACTCTTAATAAATTCTACCTTTTTTATTATTTCTCTTCAACCTTGTTCCACACTTCATTTCCTCGAGCTCAGTAGGTAGGCTAGGTAGCCCCCCCCCCTTTCCTCATTATGTACCTTAGAAATTTCAAGTGTCACTTCCTCATGTCCTTTTTGTTTCCATTTTCTCTAAAACTGTCATTCCTCACACATTCAATCTATGGTATTCTCAGCATCCTTCTGTAGAGCAACATCTGTGAGGAGATTATCCAGCATGAATTGATTTCTTCATCTTTTTTTTTTTTTTAATTATCCCAGTGTTTAGGTGATTATGATTTCTGATCTTTTTCAGCTTTCTTCCAATTTGGGAAACCTTCAAGCAATTTTGAACAGAGTTATTTTTATTTTTATTATTATTATTATTATTATTATTATTATTATTAAGAACAATCTACCCCGATAAATTAATTGAAAGGGTTCAGTTCAAAATTCCTGGAAGCTTATGCAGATCAACAGCAGCTGAAAAAGATCAAAGAGCATAATCACCGAAACATTAGAATAATTAAAAATGATGAAGATATTAGTCTGCCCATAAATAATGTAAATAACATTCATTAGTTGGTTCTCGTCTATTAGTGTGTACATTATGAAGGTGATTCAAAAGTTCTCAGTCTTCTTTAATATACCTTATTCATGAAAATTCATAAACCTCATTATTTGGTCATAAATATATTTCATGACCTGCTATTATGTAACCTTCAAGTAAAGTGTGTATTCTATTATATTAGGGTGATGCTTAAGTTTCTAGTATTCTTGAAAAAATACATTATTTATAACATCATTATTTAGTCA